GGGGGGGGGGGGGGGGCGCGCACGCGCGCGGCGGGTGGGTTTGTTTTGTTTTGATTAATTTTAATCTAATCTCTCTCCAAATCAGAAGGTGATGTACTGACCTTTTTTGACCCATGCCACATCTTTCACAACTTCTGTGTGCCCAGCAATAGTCATGATGGGTTTTCCTTCTAGAGACCATATTCGAGCAGTGTGATCATAAGAGCCACTTAAAATCCTGCAGGATATAAAAGGTGAAACATGTTTATCTTTGCAGCTAATGCTGCTTCATAGGACATTATTTCTGTGAGGATCTTGGACAATATTAGCCAATAAACAATTGAAAAATGTGAATAAAGAAAAATAGCTCTTGATAGCAAACTTTGTCCCCTTTGAATGCAAAAAGGCTTATTTGCAAACGCTGAAAAAAGACATTTTATTCAATAAAGCTTATACTTTCCTATTAAGTACAGCATTAAAACATGCAGACTTTCAGATGAAAAATAAAGGAAAAAGAAAGAAAGGAGAGAGAAGTATGAATACTGACTATCTTGTATATGAAATTCTGAAGCTTTATATCTAGGTCAGAACCAATTATTATAAAATTATTATTAATACTTTGTACTTGATAATATCTTATGATTAATGGTTTGAAAGTACTTTGAGATTCTCTAATTAACAGAGGGTTCTCAGTACAGTCAACAGTGAATAGAAGATCTGGAAATATACAATAGAAAGGATTAATGGCATGGTTACCTTTTTCTTCTGAAATTTTTAAAAGTACTTTAGGTAAGGTGTCAGATAATTATATTTGTCATCATTACATCAACATTATATTTGAAATATGAATGGTTTTAATTAATACGTTTAAAGAAACAAAAAAATTGAGTAGCATTTATTAATATTAATCTATACAATCAATACTGGCTCATCCTCTCCTAACCATGGTAATTTTCCACTTGGGTTAAAGCTACTTTTAGGGCACATTTACATGTCACCCTACTGCAACGTAGTGACATGCTCTCTGGGTGTAGTGCATTGCTACAGTGACGTAGAGGCTTAACCATGCACACAGCACAGTAACCACCCATACTGCGCCGTGCTTTAGTACTTCCAAGAGGAAGTACTTTGATATAACTACTTCCAAAAGGAAGTACTAAAGCATGGAGCCATAGCAATGTGTAGATGCGCCCTCAAGGTAACAAAGAGCTATTCAAACTTCAGCTACTTTCCCAGCCATATGATCCATCTAAACCTGACAGGCAGAAATACCAGCTTAAAAAAAAAGGCAGAAACGGGAGAAGGAGAGGGCACCAATAAACAGAGAACTATAGCATCAGTTACTGAGAACAGGACAAAAATTGGAAATGTAAGACTGGCCAATACCATTCTTCAGTAGCTTCCACAGAACTAATCCAGTCGTCATGGAACATGCACTCCTCAGGTTGAGGTGCCGTGTACTTCTCCACATACTCAATTTCTACCACTTCCTCCTAAACTCTCAAAGACAAAAATATGGTCAGTTTGGGGGACTTGTTTTTCTTATTTCTGTTTTTTCAGCAGCAAAAATATAGTCCAACTGATCAGCCCAAGATCTTGACTATACAAGCATCCTGCCCTCCATATAGTTGTAAGCCTCTTCTCTGCCACAAAATTTGAGTTACTACTATAAATAGGATTATAGGCAGCCCTGACTCCATGACAGACAAAAATATGCACAACTGAACATCAAGCAGATAGTAGCAATATCAGGACCTTACTAATCAAGAGTAAATTAACTACCTGCAAATGCAAGTAGCAAATTTACTTGCAATTAGTAATGGTGCAGTAGGGCTTGTGTAGATGCATGACCAGGAGCAAATCTGCTCCCATTCAGCCGGCCACTAGGGGGCAGGAGATTGCTCCCTGCCCCTGGGAGCTTTCTGCTGCTGGGGTGGGCTCCACCACCAAAGCCCGGGCAGGGACTATGTCCCTTTGCCCTGCCAGTTGGGAACTCCACACCTCCCATTCTGTTCCCCACCTGGCTCTAGGAGTGAGGAGCTGGGCAAGGAACAGGCTAGGGAGCTTGCTGCCCAGCCTGTTCCCCACCCAGTTCTGCACTCGTGCAGCTGAGTGGGGAACAAGCTCCCCAGCCTGTTACCCACCAAGCTTCACCCGTGCCCGCAGGAGCCGAGCAGGGAACAAGCTCCCCAGCCTCCACCCCACATGTGGGGTGGGGGGCTGGGAACTGTCTTGGTTAGGGCCAGGTTTCAGCCCTGTGCCCTGATCGGATGAATGAGGCATGGGGCTTGGAAAGAGCTGCAGGGGTGGGGTAGATCCCAGCCTGCTGCCCCACCAGTAGATTGGGGCAGACAGCTGGGACCTGCCCCTCCCCTGCAGCTCTTTCTAAGTCCCCTGCCCCTGATCAGGGAGCCAGGCCTAGGAGGACATTGTCCCTGCCCCAACAGCAGGCAGCCTCCTGGGGCAGGATGTAATGTCCCAGTCCGGGCAGGAGACAGATGTCTTCTGGCTTGGTGCTCCCTGCCAGCCCCTTGGCTAGCACCCAGAGGGAGCCTTAGAGTTCCCACCGGTGGCAGCAGGGGCCCATTGGAGGGTCCCACGAAGTGGGAGCAGTTTGTTGCCATTAGCACAATCTGCTCCCACTTCCCTGCCCGGGAACGTTTACTTATGAGTAGTTTACTCCTGAGTAAACTGATCCCAGATCAAATGCCTGTGTAGACACACCTTAAGAGGCCAATCCTACAAACATTTAAACGTGAGGGTAATTTTACTCGGGAAGCAGTCCCATTGAAATCAATGACTAACATGAGTAAAATTATAGACATCCTTAAGTGTCTGCAGAACTAGATTCTTATGAACTGCAAGCATATCAGAAGGAAAAAATGGGAAATAATCTGTATTACTGCAGAAGTGAAAGAATACTAAGAAAGGAAAATAAGCAGAATATTCAGAATTAGGTCACCTTTACATATCAGAGTAAGCAAGGCATGGGGTGGAAAGCTGAACTTTGAAACCTGAATTGAATCACGTAAACTACCTAGAATCTTTTAAATTCTGTTGTCCTATAGTGAGGTCCAGAGAAAGTGAGCATGACTTACTGTTGAAATGTTTTCCAGTTCTACGTGTTTGACCAATGACGTACGCAGGAATTGGCCTTTGATAAGGAAGTCGAATTCCACATATTTGTGGTTCTCTGAGGAAACCGAGAGAAACAATTAGTTTTAGTATATCATAACTTAATTCATACTCTCAAGAAAAGGATTCAGCAATGGCAGTTTTTAGAAAATGAAGCCAACATTTCATTTAAATTAAATGCAATGCCAGCTTCTTTTTCCAGATACAACTGTGCTCAATAGGATTATAACAAATATCCACAGAATATTTTAAGCAGCATTTTGGTAGTTCCACTTAGAGTGGTAATAAGCAATCAAGACAAAGAGAGGGCTGTAAAGCAAAGCTGTATTTCTTAATCCTGTTATTTTATAGTTCATTTTTCACCGTCACTCTACCAAATACACAAAATCTTTGTAAGTTCATATCAAAGTAAACTATTTAAAGGCAGGGGTCGGCACCGTTTTTGGCTGGAGTTCCAAAAACACCCAAACCTCCACCCATGCCTTGGCTCGGCGTGCCAAAGTCAGTGCTGTGAGGGGCCCGATCCTCCTTGTTGGATGGCTGCATGTATGCTTCTGGGCAGATGGCAGGGGAGGGGCCAGGGTTGTTCTGCCTGGGCCCCTTCCTCACCATGTGCTGTGAAGCGTGCATGTATCTGCTGCTGCCACAGCTGGTGTTGGGGCTCTGGAGTCTGGCACAACTGTTTGCAGCCTGCCAACCACCTGCTGCAGCTGCCCAGAGCCTGGGCCAGCGGTGGCAGGCTGCAAACAGCTGCACCAGGCTCCACAGCCCTGGTACCAACTCCATGGTGGTAGCTGCATGTGTGCTTCTGGGTCCACAGCCAGAAAAGGGTCTGGGGCAGCACAACTCTGGTCCCTCCCCTGCTGTCCATCCCAAGGTGCAGCTGCCACCAGCACAAAGCCGGGTTGGGGAATCCAGTGCAGCAGTTTGCAGCAGATGACTGGTACAGCCAGCCCAGGCTCTGGGCAGCTATAGCAGGTGGCAGCCAGGCTGTAAACAGCTGTGCTGAACTCCACAGCACCAGTTCTGTGGCAGCAGCGGCTGCGCTTCCAGGCAAACAGCAGGGGTGGTGCCAGGGTTGCACTGCCCTTGGGTCCCTTCCCGGCCATGTGCTGGAGCCACTGCAGCCACAGACCTGGTGCTAGGGCTGTGGAGCATGGCATAGCTGTTTGTAGCCTCCCAGTTGCAGCTGGCCCAGGTTCTGGGCAGCGGCTGCCTACAAGAGCCCAGGTTGCTTGCAGCCTCCCAGCTGCCTGCTGTGAGCAGCCTGGGCTCTGTGGCTGGTGGCAGCTGCCCAGAGCCCAGGCCGGCTGTAGCACGCCAAGGAAAATGGCCTCACATTTCATACTCTGGCCAGGGGTTGCCGATCCCTGTTTTAAGGTAAGGTACTCCTCTCAGATTCAGAAAGCATATCTTGTCTTCAATATTGTTATGTGCATGGAATCCTGCCCATGTCCCCTAAATGCACCTGGATATACAGTAGCGGATGCAATTCATGAATGTCTTTAGAGTTTGTTACTGCTATTCTTCATCAACATCAAGGTGGGACCACTGTAATCACCACCAGGAGGGGTAGCCTCTGAAGAACTCTTAGCTTTAAACATTCAGTCTTTAATGCACACCTTCAAAATGTTATGGGTAAATGGAGAATACAACACACATTTAATGCCAGAGGCTAGAAACAATATAAAGCCCTTTTTGGATGGAGAGAGAGTTATTTGAAAGACCACTTCCATTCACATCTGCTCAAACATTTCAGTAGTTAATACCTGGAATTAGGTTATTCAGACCTTGAAACTTGTATTCTCTGTTGGCTTGCACACCACAACTGAACTCTGGTGAGCTTCAGATCATATTGCAAGATTTTATTGTTTAGGCAGGGAACTGAATTATTTTTTTTATTTCCATTACTCATCTCTCCTTTAATTTGATGCCTCAGAAAGTTTTATTATTGGTTTTATTTTGAATATGCCCCCAACACTACCTCAGGACCCCACTAACAAAATGGAGACAGTCTCCGCCTCAAAAGCTTGCAGACTATAAAGAAGGACAGAAGTGTTTGTGTGTCTTACACTCTGGATTGTCCCAATCCTGCCTACAATCAGTTCTGCGCAACTGGTCCCTTCTGTATGCACACAGTTCCACTCACTTAAGTGAAACTCTGCACAGAAGCAAAGGTTCATCTGCATGGACACTCTTGCCGGATCTACATTTTCAACGACCATTGTACAATACCAAGGAACTGTTACATTCCACGTAAGGCAGGTATAGTCACACAAATACAGGAATGACAACTATTTTCCCTCATGAGTATTTATAGGGAACTTGGTGATCTTTGATGTAACTAGTGGTTCGTATCTAATATAACTTGCAAAGGCTTATATGTGTACTTAACTTTACTCATATGCATAGACTGTTGTAGGATCCAGACCCTTCAAATTTAAATCTCTGTAGCAGTGGTTTTCAACTTGTGGTCAACGGACCCATGGGGGTCTGCAGACTATGTCAAAGGAGTCTTCAAAAGATTACTGTGATCAATCAAAAGCATGTGAATACCCATGCTTAGACTACAAAGGGGTCCACACTTCCATTCAAGATTTCCAAAGGGGTACACAATCATGGAAAGTTAGTGTTGGAAGGGACCTCAGGAGGTCATTTAGTCCAGCCCCCTGCTCATGGGCAACTGGTGCCACCTTAGTGGCGGGGGTGGGGAATGACAACAGACATGCCCCACCGTGGCTAATCTCACTGACCAGAGGCAGGGTCCCCCCATGGCTGATCGCACCAACTGCAAACTGGCCATGGTGCTACCGGTAGTGGCTGCGGCATTTCATCTGGCACTCCCACTCCCTAGCCAGTGCTTGCAGGGGGGCACCAGTGCTCCTGCCTACCCGTCGCCTAAGCAGGGAGCATAGCCTGTCAGGGGGTGCACCAGTGCTCTCAGGGAGTGCACGTGCACCCCCTACATGTCACCACTGCCCCTGCTCAAAGCAGGACCATCCCCAACTAGATCATCCCAGCCAAAGCTTTATCTAGGCGGGTTTTAAAAACCTCCAGGGATGGAGTTGTCACCACCACTCCGGGTAACCTGTTCCAGAGTTTTACTACCCTCCTAATGAGAAAACTCTTCCTAATATCTAACTTAAACTTCCCTTACTGCAACCTGAGACTGCTGCTCCTTGTTCTGTTATCTGTCACCATGCAGAACAGTCTAAATTCATCTTCTCTTCTCTAGACTAAATAAGCCCAGTTCCCTCACTCTTTCGTCATTAAGTCATGTCCCCCAGACCCCTCACCATTTTTGTCACCCTCTGCTGGACTCTCCAATTTGTCTGTATCCTTTCTGTAGCGGGGGCACCAAAGCTGGACACGGTACTCCAGATATGGCCTCACCAGTGCTCACTAGAAGGGAATAATCACTTCCCTCAATCTGCTGCCACTGCTCCTACCAATGCAGCCCAGTACGCTGTTAGCCTTCTTCGCGACAAGGGCATACCTCTTGGCTCACATTCAGACTCCTGACCACTGTAACCCCCAGGTCCTTTTCTGCAGAGCTGCTGCCCAGCCAGTCAGCCCCCAGCCTGTACCAGTGCATGGGATTCTTCCATCCTAAGTGCAGGACTTGTCCTTGTTGAACCTCACGAGATTCAGCAAGGGTCCGGAAATAAAAAAAGGTGGAAAACCACTGCTCTACAGTACAGGTTCTTAAGAAGAGATTCTGAATACATCAGCGTGTTCCTAGCTATGCCTTCTCAAATTAGTAAGTTACCTTCTAAGTACATACCATTCTTAGCTTCCAGCAATTTATTGATGACGTTACTGAGGTCAGCGATTTCCGAGGCGGCCGGGACGGAGAACGGAACATCGTCTACTACGTACCTACAGAGAAAAAAAAATCAGGATGAACTTTTCAGACACGCAGACAAAAACCACGCAACAAGCAGAAAGCAAATTCATTAGTTGCTGTTACAGTCCCGTGTCTTTTCTTCAGTAGTCCATCACCCCTGTAGTGAACAAAGCCAATATTCACGTGGTTGGACCCCACGACTTGCCCCTACCCTTTGCCAAGATTTTTGGAGCGCCTCTCACACCGACGTGACCCAGCAGATGCAGCATCAGGCCACTGGGTGTCTACACGTCCTGCAGGGACCAGCAGGCGCCTGTGTGCAAGCAGCATCGAGGCGGCTCTAGGGTTTTATGCTGCGACTCCTATGGCCAAGAGACGAGGGCAAAAGAGGTACCACCTCGGCTCCCACAGCCGGCTGCCCCTTGACGGCGCCTGCCCGTGCTCGGGCCCCGCCGGGAGCGGGACCAGGACCGCCCCTCGCGGCGCCCCCGCCCCGCACTCACTTCTGGTTGTCCGTGAGGAACCGGGCCTGCAGCTGGGCCATGGCCGCGAGCGGTCCCAGTCGGCGGCGGGCGGCTCAAGACCGCGCCGGCCCCACGTGCGGTAGAGCCGCGCGAGCTCGCTCGGGCCCAGGCGGCGACGCAGATCAACAGTCCCGCAAGC